GTGAGAGTGTGTGTGTGAGAGTGTGAGTGAGTGAGAGTGTGTGTGTGAGAGTGTGAGTGAGTGAGTGAGTGTGTATGAGAGTGTGTGAGAGTGTGTGTGTGTCTCGTGCGCTGCTCTGGTGGTGGCAGCTGTTCCCACAGGCACACTCTGATGATGTAATCAGTATGACATCGTGGTGGGTCAGCTTTCAGCACTGATTATCCTCATCCTCATCCGTACACATGTGCGCTGACCTGACAAGCTGCATATTATAACCCTTCTAGAATAATCCATCGCCAGGCTGCGTTTGTCTCCTGTGTAACTGAAACGCTGAATTTCAAACAGTGAAATTGTGAATATGCATATGTGAAAATTGTGTTAATGTGCTTATGGGGTTTGCTCCCTCAGGAAGAGCACATGTGCTCACATGCATGCGATAAGATGAGGAGACATCGGGCTTATTAAACGCAGAGAGAGGAAAGCTAAGCTCTGTCGGTTTGCACTCGTTTTATCATGTTTAGTCCAGAGCTCAGGAAAGGCCATCGACTGTGAAAGAAAGAGTTCACCCCAAAATCAAAATTGTCATGATTTACTCAGCCACAAACCTGCATGAGTGACTTTCTTTTGTGGAACACAAAAAGAGATATTTTGAGAAATGTGCTGGTTGCCATTTTCCATGCAATTACATCGATTGAAAGCTTTCAGAAGGCAAAAGCCATATGTCCATATGACTCTTATATATGATTTATATATACCTATATATGTTGGACACCCACCATCTGATGGTGACTCCAAATATGTAGTACAGATTTAAATGAAAACGGATTTCATGTCATTTTCTCATCCCATTTTATTTTTGAAGCTAGTCCATTAGCATTTTAGAGGTAGGTCCTTTCTGGGCTTGCGAGCGCTAACATGCTGTGTCAAACAGAAGAAATACAAACACAATGCAGCGTTTCTGTTGTGCATGTGTTGTTTTAAAAATGTCAAAGGCAGATCAGCACTTTCTGTTTGAAACGGTGAAAGCTCACTTCTCCTGTGCGTCGGTTTGTCAGCAGTGGGCCGGAATTAACAGGAAAATGAATCTCTTGTGTGAAGCTGGTTTTATGTTGAAAGACTTTGACCCTCTGTGGTGTCCAGTTCCTCAGCAGAGACATGAAAAGTCGCTGACACAGAACTCTCTGAGTTAAGGAAAAGAGCGAGAGAGAGAGAGAGATGGTGTTTGAGGAGGCGACTCTGTGCTCACTGAGGAGCTGAGAATGGAGATGTGGATCAGATACCGGTCGACTCCAGGTGTTTCCTCAGTTCTCTCAGGATCTGTTGTGTTTATGTCGGTCGAAATCTCTGCGCTCATGCTCACACGGCCTGAACAAGAGCTCACAGTCACTCTGAAGATGTCAGAGCCGATATTACAGGATCTGATTCTAGTGGGTGTGTTGTGGTTTTCCTTATTTCAGTGTGAAGAATAAAGGGCTTGCTGTGTTTTGGTTTTCCCATCTGTGGGGGGACACAGCAGGTGTAGTTTTGTTCTCCCGTCTGTGTCCCATTGGCTCTTACTGTGACCTCTGTCTTTCTGTGTGTTTGTCTCTTCGTCTCTCTCTCTCTCTCTCTCTCTCTCTCTCTCTCTTCAAAGTCTTGATAAAAAATGGATAATAAAATGTAAACAATATTTTGTATTATTACTGTTAGCATATAAAGAACAACAGTAATAATAGTCATAATGAAAAGATTACAAAATATGTTCTAATAATATCACTAATAATAATAATAATAAATAAAAATTGTACAATTAAATAGTTTTTTTTTGTTTTATCATCAACAACAACAGTAATAATGAAAAAATTACACAAAATATTTTATTAATATAATAATAGTAATATATTGAAATAATAATACTGATGATGATGATGATGATGATGATTATAATGATAAATAAATTGAATAAAAATATTTTGTACTAATATCGTTAACTAAAAATTATCGTCATAATAGTGATAATAATAATAATGAAAATAAATGTAGTAATAATAATGGTTAAAATTAAACAATAAATATATTTTGTATTCATATTAACATTGAAAAACAAACAAACTAACAAATAAATAAGTGCACAATACAGTTATTTTAATTAATAATAATAATAATGAATATAAATGGTACAATAAATATATTTTATTTTCATATTAAAATAATATTAAAACAAATAAATAAATGCACAATACAGTTATTTTATTTTTTATGATAATAATAATAATAAGTATTATTATTATTATTATTATTTCTTTGTCTCTCTCTTTTGCCTTCTCTATATATTTTTTTCAAGGTCCATTATGTATATTTACCATATAGATGCAATGGTGTGTGTGTGTATCTGATTATGTACTTCTGGGGTGTGGTCATCAAACCAGCACATCACTCATTTTCATTCACTCCTCCCCCCCTCCACACACACACACACACACACACACACACACA